CGCATTCCCTCTACTCTTCATCCCTCCGTCTCCCGGTATCCCCTCTGTATCTCAGCAATGACATCGGTGACATTCAGAGTTGAGGAATATCTTAGTTGTCAGCAAGCCCTAGTGTGCTCCAATTACCTTCTCTGTTAAGAAATATTTAATTCTAATATTTCACTCACTTTTAATTATTGTATATGATAATGTATTCATAAGATGTGTTAGGCATGAACATTAAACTATGATAGTACGACAAATAATAGCAAGTAAATATAATCGGTGCTCATTCCGTATTCTTTTTTTTTGCAATCGATAGTACACATAGCAGCATTCAACGGCTTCCGATAGGTGTAACCATTAAAAAAAAGGCAAATAGACCAAAAACCCTTACCTAGAGAGCCTCCTTATCCACATAGCAGATCCAGCAGCGGTGCAATCATTAAAACAAGCGAATAGACCAAAATCCCTGAGACAGCTCCCTTATGCACAGCAACGCTGCTCATCATCAACCCACCATCGCCAGCCCAATAGTAGTGACGCTAGTTATTCAGCATGAGGTTGTGTGTTCGATTCTTTGCACCAGCACTATTTTTGCTTCGATGTGTCTTAAATGGGCCAGGATAGGTGGGTGGCGCACGAGCTCGACCCAGGTGGCGCATTGGGCCAGGATAAGTGCGTGACGCACGAGCTCGGCCCAGGCGGTGCAAACTCGAGCGATATGTAAAACGTATCAAGTCGGACGAGCTATTAGTACCACCTCGTTTATAACGATTTTGTCTATACAAATCGTAAAAGCGTATTACGACTGAATGGAAGCGTATTGTGACGGTGAACCCACGGAGTCAATCCGTACTTTATTATTAGGGAGAGACTAGCAAAAGACCCGTGCGTTGCAACGGGAGAAAAGAATACCGCACACTCTTAATTTACACAAAATGGTCTATAATTTGAGTATTTGTAACTACGGCCCAAACAAAGATGGTTTTTGCCTACAAAAGCGCAAGTTCAAGATTCCACATGTCTTCTATTTCAACGCTCCTACACAGCCGACACATTGTGGACGATTTGGAGACGATGCAGCGCATCAAGCCATCCATGCAATTAGCAAAAGTGAGCATCACCGTCCACTCCTCCCGTCGTCCACAGTTCGGCCGGCGACTGTCGTCCGTACAGCAATTTCGCTTCTATTTAAACAAAGCTTGAGTGTAAATTTACTACGTACAAAGAAAAGGGCAAGAGATCTTCTAGCAAAAAAGTCCGTGCATTGCAACGGGAGAAAAATAATATGGTACACCCCTATCCTGAAGCATGGCTCAGAACCCACCACAACTTCACTTCCTCTATTTGAACATGGCACTCCATTTAGAAATAGTAGCTAGTTCAAAATTATTCAGCCCATATACTATCTGATTAATTCCTGTAAAAATAGATTAAGAGGTTAATTAATTAGTCATCCCTTTGAATAGTAATGCTCACCTTTTGTGATATTAGGATTGGATGGTGAACTTCAGAAACTCACCTCGTCTCCCCTTCTTCCTAACGTATACCCCCTTCGCTAGTCTCATGAAGACGAGATCTCTGAAGAATCAACATAGTACATGTAGAAAGAAAATAGTTATGTACCAGTAGGAAGCAACCCTATGCGTGTCCTCACTCGTTAATAATCTCAGACCATGATTGCATCAGCATCTAATTGTTTTCAGTCTGCTACATGGATCAATTAGTTTGGAATAATGACCAAAATATCAAACTACTGGATGAGATTGTTTTTAGTCTGCAAGACAGATCATTTTTTCTCAAAATAATCACAAAGCTATCAAACTACTGGATGGAATGAACTAAAGAAAAATCTAGGAAGAGCTATTCGAATGAAACTATCGGCATGCAGAGAAGTACAACTTTCAGCAATGGTAATAAATAGAATGACCTAGACGCATGCCAGGCAATGTGAAAATGAATGTTCTTTGCGTAAACATTTCTTCAGCTTTAGCTAGTAACAAATATGTAATTCGCCATATGATATCAATACAGTGGAACATATAAGTATGTTCTTTTTCAAAACGTAGCACAAGGAACCAAACCATCCAATTAGTCAGTTCACATAAAATCAATCCACATACTTGTCATGTAGCAGACATTTTACCTTTGATAAACTAAGTAATTAACATTCGCAGCTATTGTTATATTTTCTTGTTAGGAAAAGCCATCAAAATTCCCAAAGGCATTAAGTTGTCACATAGTTGTATGTCTGTGTGTCTTGTCCAGAAGGTTTAAGCAACTGCCAAATGTGGCCTTTAAGCAAGTTGAGATTACTTTTTGCGGAGAATAAATATGATCCCAAAAGAATAATTCCCTGTGGCGGCCGAGTAATTAACTTCATAATTAAGCACACAAGCCAACCATAATCAAGCACACAAGTCATCTGCATCTTCCCTACAAAAAATTCATCTGCATTAGTACCGTTACACTAACATGTCGCAACAACACGTTATTTCAGCATTATTCCTTTGGAATATGTACAGTGTAGTGATGAATGTGTGGAACAAAAAAGAGACGTGGCATTATGGTTGGTACATTGAAGAAGGCCTTGCTCTTGAGCTGGTTGTCCAGTGCTCATGAACTGAAAGAAACAAGAAGACCATGATGAATAAACAACCAACGACACACAATTTGCTGATATTATAGGCCCTGCCGATTGATTCGCAGACAAGCAAAAAACCAATCAGACCTGATCGAACTGTACTTGGACGCTGATGGCATGATCGGGGCTAAGGACCATCTCGTCCAGCGTCTCCATGACGGCCCTGCCGATGGCGGACTGCCAGTACAACTCAAACGCTCCCGCCATCCCTACTCTGAACCCTCTCCCTGCTAATCAACATTATCAGAATTCAGAACAACACCAACATTTTCAATTCCAGTCAGACGGCCACACCGTCACGCTGGAATCCAAAAAAATCAAGCAGATAATTTGCAATGATTTCTCTATTCTTAATACACTTGTTGCCATGCTTGTGTTGTACAGTCTGTACAACATCTGAAAGTGTTGTATTTTAGCTTTGTATGGTGAACAATGTATGTACGGGGAGTCGGGGATCCTAAAAAATCAATCTAATCACATAGTATAACCATCCAAGTACGCACCCAAGCATCATCATGAAGTAGTGGAATAAGACACCTGAGAGTTGAAGGGATCAGACTTGCATTGCTGAATTAGCACCACAACCAAGCCAGGTCGTAGGTGTGGGTCACGGTGGTGAAGAGGTGGACTGAATCTGCCTGGATACAGATTTACCGTGCATTACTGGACCATATATTTGTGATCCTTCAACTGTAGTTACACGTGTGTTCAGTAGAGGTAGCATCGCAGTGCTGTATAATCGGAATCAGACCATCTTGGCGATGTGCCGTGGAAGGGCAGCTTCCAGAGTTGTACGTGCTTCACCATGAACTTGTAAGAGCCCCCCATGTTGTTGAGCGGCCCGCCGGCGTGGTCCTTGCAGAGATCCTTGACGAAGATCTGCCATGCCCAAATCGAAACCATCATCAGCGCAGGCTCAGCCACTTGGATTGACAGACAGATTGGGGGAGATTCCAACAATTTGTTTATCTATTAACAGACAGAGGGAGAGAAATGATTCGCGGCGCAGAGGAATGATTCGCTTACCGGTAGTCGTCGCCGAAGGCGTCCTTGATGGCTTCGGAGGAGGCGCGGTGACCCCCGCCGGTGTCGCTCGTGAGGATGAGGACGTTCTTGCCGTGGTTGGCGCCGAGCTGCACGAGCTCGACGGTGCCCTCCTCCTCCTCTTCCAGGAAGGGCTCGTCGTCGTCCTCGGGCCCGGCGAGCGACGCAGGGAGGCGGAGGTAGAGGAGGAGGAGGAGTTGCCTGCGCGGCCCGCGGGGGAAAGCTCTCTGGCGTAGGAGGGGAAGTGTTGACCAGGCCCAGTTCAGTCATCACGCGGTTGACAGGGAACGATCAACACGGCCCAGTCAAGCGGGCCGGACGGAAGAAACTTAGCGACTTATACAGACGAAAACCAATAACCTCTTTATTAGTAATAACGCTTTAGTACCACCTCGAATATGTTTTAAAATTTAAACTAAAAGCGTAAAATCATAGGGAGAAAGCGTATTGTGACGATAAACCCACGGAGTCAATCCGTGCTTTATTATTACTAGCAAAAATGTTCGTGTGTTGCAACGGGAGAGAAAAAATTGCACGCTCCTGTTTCAAGACCCCATAGGTCAAATCCTTTTCTCAACATGACGCCCATCCGTGACAATGGACGTCCTTCTTCCCACTGTCACCGACAATGGTTGCAGTGCCCGAGACTACACCCGTGCTTTGGTACAGAGCAAAGCAAATACTGCTAACCATATGTTTATTAACATAACTTCCTATCATTAATAAATAAGCACAAAGATTATTAATAGTACATACCATCAAATTTATGACCTTTTAATGTAACTAACAAATTAGGCTAGCTAACAAAATCACTTTAAGATTATTAAGAAAATTAATAAATTTCCTCAGTAAAGAATCAAATCATTACATGAGCATTTGGATTTGTCTATTATATAGCTGAATTACTGTTACTAATTTTAATTCACTGTACATTTTTTCCATATTTATTAATCAAAGTGCATGTGTTAATTCTTTACTTTAACTGGCAATGCATTATCTTTTAATCTTTGCGAGTGACCAATTTTTTGGCACCGGTGTAGCCATAAGCTCCACTTATTATATTTGTGCTTATAAAAAATAACATGGTATTTTACCTCATAAATATATATTGTTGTAAACTGAAACAAAGTCCAGTGAAGACATTGCCACACGATGGAGTTTGGAGACATGTACTAACTTTTCTTCTGAATGGTCGTACCTTCAAAATTCGGGGTCTTGTGCAAAATCAAAATTAGGCCCTATATTTAAAAAATATAAATTAAAATATCTGTATAAATTATTGTGGTGCTACATATTTTTTCAGGGAGTTCACATTTTATCTTAAAATTTAAATCTACCCAAATCAATGATGTATCAGAAAGAACAAAAATTATGACAGTAGAAACTTTAGAGGGGTGAAAGGTTGGAGACCATGAATGGCAGGCATCACATGGGATGGGGTTGCTCTACTAAGAACCATGCAGTGAATGAGAAACAAAAATACAGGGAGAGAGAGAGAGACGTGAGGTTGGCCTGTATTTTAGGGCGAGTCCTTTTCATTTATTTCGCTCTTAAAAGCCCATTAGCACCTAATCACTTGACCAGTAGTTGTTTTTCTTTGAACAATATGTCTTGACCTAGTAATATCAATCTCTGATTTTGGCACCCCTGGAATTTGGATGGGGTCCGTCTCGCGTGCATGCAGTCTCAGCAGCTAGCTTGCCAAGGCTCATTTCACGATTACAGAGGCTATAAAATAAATAATTAACACATGATATAACTTCAGATGCAATGCATCAAGTGTCCATATTATCTTGTACCTATATTTGCATATTAATTCCCCACAAAAATATGTTTCATGTCTACTGTTTTATAGTATTATGTTTTAGAAGTGCCTGCCGCTCGTTTCCTTAGGAATGCCAACTTTTTTTTATTTCCCTACCTATTGGTGTGTGCGATCTATTATTAAGAGCACGGCCGGATGGGTGTAAAAGGTTGGCCCTGGTGGATGCCTTTGATTTCTTTCTTGCATGTTTCCTTGGATCCCTTTATAGCCGACCACATATATAGAATGCGAATTAGCCTCTATTTTCTTTCCCGTTTATAATATAGCCCATCACATATATAGAATGCCAATTAGTCTCTCTTTCCTTCCTTATTCCCTGAGCTACATTTTCCTTCCTTATTTTGATCACGTTGGAAATCCTCTTTTAAATGGGCGTGCAATAATAATTAGCCTCTCTTTCCTTTGTAATATCTTTCTTATGATTCACTGCTTCCTAATACCCAAGAAACTCAAAGACATATTTAAATTGGGTGAGTTGAATGTAAAGCAGCGAGGCGGTACTATTTAGTAGGAAAGTAAACTTTGGATTGAACACGCAAGGTGTGCTAGATGGGTTGATCTCTACAATATTTATCAAACTGCAGGTCCTGAGTTCGAACTCTGGTAACCTGCATGTTTTTTACCTCGTTTCCTTTGTATTACAACCGGGCCTGTAGGATTCAAAGCATGTGAGGCTTGCATGGGCCTATTTTGGAGTGCGGATGGGCTGCTTGATATGGCCCAGCCGGGATGGGTGAGCGTAATGATGCCACTTTATGTACAAATATTTTAATAGGTTTGAAGAAGTTAGTACAGAAAATTAGTACCACCTTGGTTAGAAACTTAGAATCCAAACTGAAAGCGTAAATTCACATGAAGAAAGCGTATTGTGACGGTGAACCCACGGAGTCAATCCGTACTTTATTATTACTAGTACAAATGCCCGTGCGTTGCACCGGGCGAAAAAAAGGGCACAACCTGCTTTCATTTGCCATTATGCACCATTTCTTATATCCAATTTTAATAAACATCTATGATAAGGTTAAACATGGAATTTTTCTTATTTTTAATAAAATTTAACGTTTGCATAAAAATGGAACACTTTTTTTAAGAATAGTTAACGTTTTTATGAAGTTCGAATATATTTCTCTAAAAAGAACATTTTTCTATCAGATGTTTTTTCGAAAAGAATGTTTTGTTGTATATTTTTAAGTGGAAACATTTTTTTCTTAAAATGGAACATTTTTTGGGAATTCTTAAGCTTTTTGAAAAAGTGCAAACATATTTTGTTGAAAAATAGCATGAACATTTTTAAACTATATTTATTGTGTTAAGTTTTTTTTTACAGATAGTCTTTTTAGGGTTTATTTTGGGAGTTTTTACAGATAGTTGGCTGTTTGGTTGGGAAGAGTTTTTTCTCCTTTTTTGAAACTAAGGAAAATTTGCAACGGGATAAAAAATTATTGCACTCTGACATACGTAATTCAAACAATATGGTTTCTTAGAAAAAATATGGTCGAATTCCCTAACATGAAGAGCAAT